GTGACTTTTTTCTTTTTTTAAATTCTGAATTCACGGGACGACTACCTCAATTCTCAATAGCCGTGCAATTGTTTTGATGTTCTACCTACATTTCAATAAATATTTTTCAAACAGCTTACTTTTTTACTTACATGGGAAACTGTAGAAGTGTTGAGAATGTGTGTTTGAGTGTCAGTGAACTTTTGAATAAATGCACATTCCTTATAAATAATACATCACGTGTTTCTTCTTTTGCAGATAATTTCAAATAACAATGAATTAGCAATTGCATTGGATATGCAAAACAATCGATGCTTAAGCTTCTGCTCTAGTGTTGTACAATAATACGCTTTACCTTTTAAATAAAATTTTTCAAAAACATGCCGGTCTTTCACTGTATTGCAGATTTATTTTGATCTGTTGTTGAAAATAAAGGTGAACATAGTAGACCTTTGGGGTTATGTCAATTGATGTAAAATAGGGAGTTCTGTGTGTATTTAGGCGAAAAGTAAACAATTCAGCAGACATTTAGGCGAAAAGTAAACAATTTTGCGGACAGTTAGGCGAAAATTCGGTAATTTGGGGGATATTTAGGCGAAAAGTGAGTAATTTATCCTTATTATTTCCTCTGGACAGGCGAAAAATGCGACATTCTGATGTGTTTTCCCCTTTCGCTACCAAAGCATTTACCCCTTTATTTTCCCTTTTTGGGTTGTCTGGGGAGCTACAATGTTTTGGCTGCCGATATTATTGCAAAAATACCTAATATCAGAAATAAGTACTGATATAAAGCTGTTACGAGAAAGCACTGAAAAGTACGATTCGATAGTCAAGATATCTTGATCTAAGGTGACCAGATTGTGTGAGATCCTATGTGATGATCTTCGGAAATCAACCAAGGCCTGTCTAGCTTACGTGCTGATGCCGTAAATGACAATTACTCATAACTTACGTGGGACTAGAATAGAATATGCATCAAGAATTTCAGGTTACACAGGACGATTGAAAGTAAATTCACACAGTAGTCTTTATATATGTTCATCGTCTAAGTTTCTGAAGTGCAACCTGCCCAAAGAATTAAATAATACAATCCGTGTATGTTGTGACCCAGACTTTCCTAAGCAACGCAAGAGATAAAGGAAATAAGCGTGATTGACTATCCAAAGGAAGGGTGTGCTAAATGCACTTTCGATCTGTAATTGCATACTGGTTTCCGTTTTTATACTAGTTTCTGGTAAACATTTATACTGAAATAACTTTCCTGTCTATTTTATTTCCAGCTAGCTTCGCAAGCGTTCACAGACCTAACGAGAACAATTCCTGAGAATTAGAAGTTATTTATTAATGGATCATTTGTGCTAGATTCAAACTTTAATAAACGTTTACATTTATAACGCACCAGTCTCTTAATTACGGCAATTCTTATCTATCGTGACAGGTCGAAATCCGAACTACTAGTATGGTACACCATGTTCAAGGTAGCAGTATTTGGTAAACGGTATGTATAACTAATCGCGTGTGCGCCAAACTGGTAATTATTACACAAGAACGCGAAACAACATCCCTGTCTCACAGCCACATAAGACTGCACAGTACACTCCCTGCCGTTACGCTATAAGAATAAGTCAATGGCCATATAAATGAATTTATGTAAAACTAAAAAGATTACAATATTAGAACTTCTTGTTAGCAAGAAGCATAGCTATGGTCTGCATTAACAATGGATTCTGACGTTGTAGCTTCATCATTAGCACCGACTGAACTCATCAACTGTGCACATATGTCTTCCGATGCTTCGAGGCATGAACGGATGAGTTTACTTGCCATAGGTTCACTAAGAGCATGGATTGAGTGGTAGTTGCTAGTGAACTTCTCTAGCAGATCATCACTCCCTGTAGAGATTGAGATTTTGTCCAGCGCACGAAGAACCAGGTCCATTATGTATTTTCTTGTCCACCGGTTGCTATGTCGAAATAAGTCTACAAAACTTATAGAGATAAAGGAACACACATACCTCCGCGAATCAGATCTTTAGAATGTGCATACAAAATATGACCACAGGGCAGCATGTAGTCATTGAAACGCTCACAAGCACATCGTGCACGTGAAGTATCAACAACATACATCATACCCTTACAGTAGCACCGGATGTATTCTCCTTCTATAAATTCGTGTTTCATTGTCCGAACACGTTTATAATTTACAGCTACAATTTTAGCTGCAGAAGATGTGAACTCATTTAGAAGAGTTCGAAATGACATTGGAACCTGGAATTAATGATACATTTAACTATATTTCTTACCTGAAGAATAGGAAAACGTTGAAGATCCTTCACAGCGTCATAAGGACACAAACGTAGATCAATGTCTGTCTTACTCCAAATTTTCCAGAACGTCAATAATAGGGAATCACCTCTTCTGAGACATTCTTTTAGGTGTTTATGAGCACTTTCAACACGGTTGTTTGTGTGGTTGCCCAGGCTTAATACATGTCGCCGGTAACAGCGAGCCCACATTGACTTCCTGGCAATCCAGTAATCTTTTATGTAATCATACGCCCGTGGAAAATGCGTTCTTAGATGTTCGTACTTTCGAGTAAATCTGAATATAATGCGCTATGAAAAGCGAAGCTCACATATCAGACCGTCTAGTCTTCACAAGCTGTTCCAAGCATTTGCGCACATCAGGATTTCGGAACTACAGAAAATAATTTGTACAGCTAACACATACCTTCCTGAAAAACGCTCCTAGGACATGGAATGAAGAAAGTATTATGTTAGAATGACTGTGCGTAGACTGCACAGCCGAAATTTCGGTCGCTGCCGAATCCATAATGAAAGTGCGTGTAGCATAAGTACCGCACATTATCTCTTTAAAACATTCCAATAGTTTTTCGATATCTTCGCGTCGTTCTTGACTGCAAAGAGCATACATAACAGTGTGCCCTTGCCCAAGATTATCAGTGACCACTAGCTGGAACAGTGGAAAACTTTCAGATAAATTTATTACTAATCGTAACTTACCCGACTTTATTGGTCTGATAAGTCGAATCAATACATATTACTTCCGGGAACGCGTGGTAAACAGCTATTTGCTCTCTGCGGCTGAAGCAAATCATAGACATGTTCCCATTTTCATAGAATACTTTAACTTCAGTATTTCCTTGAATGCGCTGTAAAATGTTATTGATATTTTTAGTGTCTAAACTCAATTAATTACAATGTGAGTTCAACAACCTGGGTACAACTGTGAACGCATTCTGGCGATATCGTCCTTGGTAAGTTGTTTATTGAACTTCAAAGAAACCAGATACCGTAAGCTACGAGTTGGTGTATTACTCAGTAGAAACGTTCTTAAATACAAGCGTTCACTTGAGGTCAACTGTCGTTTCGATGGATCGACAGAAATATATCCTTCTGTGCAAGGATGGTTGTGTACGGTTTTAATAGAGGTGAGTTTCAACTCACCATTCAGTGCCCGGACCCAAAATCCTGATTTACAGTGGCAATATTTCGACCTGAAGGATAAATTCATTTGAAGTAAGGCATACGTAGATGACCGACGTCGTCTCCTTTGCCTAGGTTGTGTTGGCGAGTTAGAAGTTGTATGCTCTTCAGAAGAATGATTATTACTATCATCATCTACATCCTGAACGCAAGCATCTGACTCTGACGAACTGCGTTTACGTCCATATGTACAGACATATCTCACGAAAAAGTACTTTAGAGTTGGATCATCACTGTTCTTTTTGCATACTGACATAACGTACTTAGTATGCGTATACTAAAAAAATAATTATTAACCACAGAGGTCATATTACCTTATGTATTTCTTTCAAACAGGTCTCAAAATTGTCCCAACTTGTAAATCTTCGAGATAACATAATATCATTGAAGATTCGTCCTATATCATGCATCATCACGATGGAATCGTCTTCGTTACTTGAAGAATGAACGTTATCAGACATAGTGTGGCTGAACTCAATTCAAATCTAAAAATTTCTTGATTTGACCGCTTCTGAAAATTTTCACGAATTGACGATGTGACGCACCAATCATTTTGCGACAGTTTGACCTTCAAGTGCTCGCAACCCCCATCAGTGGACGATACCCTAGGAGCGTTGCCACCGGCCTATGCGGCAGTGGTTTTACTTTCGCTTGTATCTACTATAACTAACTAACTAACTAACTCGAGTAGGCCTCCGACCATTCGACATAGATCATCTAGACTGGTGATCTACAAGGTCATTTGACTTGGGGGAATTCCTCGAGATTTACCCAAACTTTGGTGAAGGTCATTTGAGTTTGTGGGTCTCCCCAAAATACTCCAAACTTCGGAGATCAGGTTGAGTCTCGATAACAGAAGCACAGATCACACACGTACTCGAACCATCGTCCAACTGGACGCTAGGTCACGCACTTGACCAATACTCGTAGTGCGATTGACTATAATACTTTTTTACATTAATGCGCGTATACTGCGAAAATAATTAACAACCAAAGAAGTCATATTAACTTATGTACTTCTTTCAAAGAGGTCTCAAAATTATCCGGACCTGTAAATCGTCGCGACAACATATCATTGAAGATTCGTCCTATATCATGCATTATCACGATGGCATCGTTTTCGTTACTTGAAGGACGGACGTTATCAGATATAGTGTGGCTGAACTCAATTCAAATCTAAAAATATCTTGATTTGACCGCTTCTGTAAGACCTTGCAGATTGTCGAGGTGACGCACCAATCGTTTTACGACCGGTTGACCTTCAAGTGCTCAGCAATCTTCAACAGTGGACGATCCACTGAAGCGTTGCCCATCGAATTTGGTTGGTCCACTGGTCTGAACTGGGGAATATACGTTACTGCAGTTTACTGATTTTTTTAGTATTAACTTTTCCATAAAAATCGAAAGGCCTCGTGTAAATCCTATGAGAAACTTCCTTTTTTATTTCCTTAACCATATAGTAACTAATTAGTTGAAACATCTAAATTAGATATTGTTGAAAATTGTATTAATTGTAGAAGTTCGCGGATCTGTTGTGTAAAGTCCCACTTATGGTCAAAAATCTTGGTAAGTCAGGGAGAATCGCAGTGATAAATTTCAGTCATCTCAACATACCCATTTTTCAAGAATTAGAGAGGATTTCAAGAATTTGTCAAAATCCTTCTAAAATTCTCGAGAAAGATGTAAGTAAAATTTCCCCTGACCTGGGGTTTTCTCCAAAACTTTAAGGAACTCCTCAATTTGTAAATTTTGGGGTTCTCTAATATTCCCCTAGAATTTACACCGACTTTAGGGGAAATATACTGCTGTATAATATCAGAAACACTTTGCTTGTAAAACTGTTTGACAGCAAACAACTAAGTAAATATTCCTTAAAAGATGATATATGCAACCTCAATGACATCAAGGTAGTCACACGTCATGGACGCTTGTAATAACTTATAATATGTTCATGCTTCTCTATAATTACAAGACTAACATATAATATATAATATTCTATAGTAAACCGAAGTGAAAATATATTCATTTTTCCAGGAGCTGCTTTTTTTCTTCATGTAGGTTACATTTAGAAACCAAACATATATTTAGTTTCAACTTTCATCCGCAATGTTCTTAAGAAGCTAAAATGTTAGTTTGCAATGCAACCAATATAAAGTTAATATAAATACTATTTCAGTGGAATGGGTCTACAATGACACTCGAGGAAAAGAATTTTACTTAATATAATAAGCATTTAAAACCTGGCTCTTATGTTTTCCTGACTGAATACACACAGCAAATGTCTGTAAGAAGTGTACATGTGTTACAAAAGGTCACGTAAGATAATACGTACGAAAATAAATTACAGTAACGTCAATGAGTACTTTTGAAACCATCTGGAAAGTGAAGATGTACAGTAGTTTCTACATAAACCTATGGACGAAATATACGAACGCATATATATCTATGCAATAACGCACTTTTATTGTTTTATGTTTACGCTATTTTGGGTCACACCTTACGCTTATTTTTTTTTATCTGTTACGTCTTGTAAGAAATCCTAGCTCGCGGTACCCAACGTTCATATAATATCGTTTTCCTGACTGGTAGCATTTTCGAATACGGAACACAGAACATCTGACAAAAGTGTTTGCTCTGATTTCGACTTACTGCGAGTTGTCCGGTGGAATCTGTAACCAATTGTATCCATTTTGGTTTTAGTTCCATGTGGTGTACTCACCAGTTCTGACGTCATTATGTAGACCAAAATCATCTTCATGGACTTACAAAGATTGCTCTTGATGATCACCGGCAGTTTTGTCATCTTTATTTCAATAAAAAAATTGTTTCAACTTACGAACTGACCGCAGGGTTTTGGTCTGTGGAAATTTTTCTGGAAATATTAAGCGAAACTCGAAAATTTCCGCAACGTTTGAGGTTTTTCCCAAGATAAGTTGGAATTTCGAGGAAAAACTGCAGACCAGGGGAAAATTTAGGGGTTTTAGTTGGATTTTGTCTGAGAGTCTTAGTGGAACTTCGACAAAGTTTCAAAATCCTTTCTAGCTTTGGAAGGGTATAAGGATTTTTCATAGAGAGATCCTTACGAAGCAACACTTCAAAACTCTTGCTTCACAAAAACGGTTTTGATGAGAACTTTTATTCGTGGCCGACTCCTGCTTTTCAAACTTTTTTTAACCTATTCGGTTTTCTACAAAAGGCCTACCAACGACAGCCCATTCAAGTTTGACACTTGGCTTATATTCATCTCTCAGTACTTCCCATATAATTGTTTAAAAGAAATATAAACTTTGCATAGGCTGAACTATTTAAAGGTTATAACCGTGACCAAACTCAGCTGAATGGTGTTAGGTTGTAAAAGTAGCCCAAAACAAAGACTTCATTTCTTAGTGCCAGAATGACATTGTGAAATAAAGTCGGAAGTTTGATCTCGGAGTATGTAATCAACTATGATCTTAAATAAAAAAGTAATTGAGATTGTTGTGATTTTTGATTGAAAGGCATAATTTATTCCGTACCTAGGAGCTTCATGTTTCGCCAACTGCGCTGTATTCGTTTTGTGATTTCTATGTAAAATAACGTCAGTCTCATGAAAAGTAGTAGTTTTTTCTTCCACTGGCTTTGATCGGGGTGTCCGCAAAATTTCAGCAAAGCTGTGATTTTGCTTATGTAAACTAAAAAAGTCGGAATTAAGTGCTGCCGTTTGCAGTTTTCCCTAATTTATCGAGATTTCAGCCCAAAAGTGGAATTTTATACAACACTATCCGGAAACCTCAACATATATTCAAGACATATCTTCGATATGTTTATTTTCAAGATACTTTACAAAATATTTCTTGAAAACTGAGGTTTTTCAAGATATAGATGTTATCTATTAGTTTTGAAAATTATCAGGATCTAATGAATATTAACATATCTTCAGGAATGGTTTCATGCCATTTAATCATTGAATAGTGTACCACGTCTTCAGTTTCTAATATGAAATAATGTGATCGAGTTGCTATTCTGCTAATTATTGTTTAGTTTAGGTTTCACCTTTCATTTTAATATATTATTTGTCTTCTTTGATACTTGTGCCCACTATATATTTTTAACTCTTAGATTAACCACAAGATTTTATAAAATCCATTTTATTCTACTTAATGTTCTTTTAGTTTCAGCAAATTCATTTTTATCTTGTGTTTATTGAATATAGGTAGTTATGTTAAGATTGTTAGACAGTTACTGCGTCAAAACATTACCACCAAATATTCTTTATCTGCCAGATTTTATCAATGAAGAAGAAGAACAAGAACTACTAAAACATATTTATTCTGCCCCATTACCGAAGTGGGTTTCTCTACGTGGTAGACGCTTGCAAAATTGGGGTGGTATTCCTCATGTTAAAGGAATGTTAGTTGAAAACGTTCCACAGGTTTTTTAATTCATATGAATGAGTTAACGATTTAGTCTATTTAGTGGCTACAGAAGTACATGGATCGTGTTTCTGAATTGTGTTTATTTGATAATAACAACAACAATAAGGCGAATCATGTTTTGGTGAATGAATATGAACCAGGACAAGGTATATTTGTAAGTGAATGTTTTTACTTAATCTCATTATTAAAACATGAAAATTACGTTCATCATTGACTTTAATTGTTTCCCTCAAAATCCTTTGTAAATTTTATTTCATCTGTCTTCTTGATTATTTACGGCCTAATATTGATCAAAATCAATCACACAATAGCAATCGCATTCATTATTTACTTTTTAAGCGTTCAATTACCATATGCCATTGCTGTCGTATGAAATATTGACACGTATTCAGAAACCTCAGTTGCCTTTTGCCAACTTTTTCCACCTGTGGCATGGGCGAGATGACTCTTCAACTGAAGTGGTTGGGTGTTATGTATGCCTAACCACCAACTACGTTGACGGGCAACGTTGTATGATATGAGAGAAGGCCGGAAATCTGTCCGTGGTTAAACAAAAACATACCATTCGTCTGTAAAGTATTTGACTGTTGGACTGACCCATGTAAATCGGTGTAGATTACATGGTTGCCATCCACTCAATTATCGTAATCACTGGTCAGACCCTGAATTGTTCACAATGGCATAAAGACATCTACTTTTTCTCTTTAGCTCCTGGTCCCGAAATCTTATACCGTTTTGTTTCTTTTTTGAAATGTTAATATGAGTAACGTGATGATTTTATTCCTCGAGATATATGGTGAAGCATTTAAATATTCACCAAAATAAATAAAATGTTAGTTGTCTGGTTCATGTTTTTTAATTCTAATGAACAGCGTTTGACAATACAATGTTAATATAGAATTGACCTACAAGACAGCATATTTAGCATAGATTGTTACTAAATATCATGATGGCAGTTCTTAAGTGATTGTAAGCCTGATAAGTTCAAATTGTATCATCTTATATATAGCTATTCAGAGAATGGGCTCTAATTTTCCTTGTTCTTTTATCATATGGCCTAATAAATCCCATTCTTGGGTTTATCTGGGTAAAATAACATAATATATGTAAACACATATGTTTCTAGTCGTTCTAGATTCTGAGTCAGTTTTATATTTAGACTTAAACTTAGCCTGTTTTGTAGCAAGTTCAACTAATAACGTGATTTTAGAGATTAAATACGAAATGCGTTGGATATTTCATACTCTACACACACTAATCGGCAATGAGGAAGATGAATGTCGACGAATCGTACAGTATGCGAATTTTAACTTGAGAGCTGAATCTTATGTTATTTGGATTGGTCGGAAAATCGATCAGCTTGCCAATTAGTTATTTGATTTACAAAACCAAATAATGGATAGGATAAATAAATAGATGGACGAATATATCCAATACATATGCATAATGATGTTTTTGTAATATCACAATAATTATGACACAACTTTAAACTTAGGTTTAATTCAGTTACTTATTTCCTTTAAAGAAGTACTTTAGGTCACGAAACGTGATATCCATTTCTAAGAGTGCATAAGCTTAATTGATGGGCCCAAAGTTACATTGTATAACATATTTCCGACCTAGTAATAAGCTATTCAGTTTCTGTTTTACGATTTTGGCCACCTTTAAGTTATAATTAAGTTCAGCAAAGTTGGATTATGACTTTTTCTTGGGTACTAGTTAAACTTCACACTATCCATATATTCAGCCTGATTAAATTTATTTTGCTTTTGTTCCGAAGGTGAGACTTACTCCAGTAAATCAATGTTTACAAAGTTACTGATATCACTGTGTTGAATTTAATTTTTCATGTTTTTAAAATTAACTCCAATAGCCTCATCATGATGGACCACTTTACTATCCTGTTGTTGCTACAATCAATCTGAATTCTTATGGAATTCTGGACTTTTATGAGCCGTTGGATACTTCTGCAGACCCAGTAACTATTTATGTTAGTATAATCGTATTTTTCTATAGCAAACAAAATCAACGTTATTTAATGATCGTTATATTGGCTCAGTTTATTTGAAACCTCGTAGCTTAAATATTGTTACTGAAAAAATGTATACACATTATATGCATGGGATTACTGAACGTACAACTGACTTATTAATAAATTATGAAGACTGTTTGAAACGTCATGAGGAATCGGTTGAAAATGCTGCTATTATTCATAATTGGACTGCTAGCGATTTGGGAAGTATTCACTCACAGTTATGTCATCGTGGTAAACGTGTTTCAGTAACTATACGCTATGTGCCCAATGTGAGTAAGATCAACTGGAATAATTTATTATGCAGAAGTTAAACTGTTTCCACTTTATTTACTAATACAACTGTTGTTAATTACATCGTTTGTGATGAATTTTTATTTCACATCATAAGGAATCCGTATGGATCCACATTTTTAAATGCATTCAATGAAAACGTAGAACCTGGGGTCAATTTGTATAGGTCCAAGTTACCACACTTTACATTAGCATAGCTTCATGAAGTTAGTAGGATAAATGGCATGGTAGTCGAAGTAATGTTAGTATATTTTATTATGAAAAAGACTAAGCAAAGGAAATATAATTCAAAAAATAGTAATGATTTGGTGGGCATAAAGTGTGAAATAATATTATTACTCATGATGTAGGAGCATATAAAGAATGAGTGGATCTGTGTTAATGCAGCTGATTGTATGGCATATCGCTGAACGGCTAATTAGTAACACCAATCTGAGCCTAATCTCTCGACAGGCTTCATTCTAACACTCAGTGGCTTCATCTACTGATTCTTAGTCTTAATTTGGTCACTACTAGTTTTCTCATACCAGGAAATCTGTAGATAGGGATAGGCGATGGTTGGTATTAAGTACTGTGTAACAATTGCCTTGTTTTATAAACGTACACAACTTCCTGAATATCACTATTAATCAGTTGGTGATCTCATCTGCGAGTAATGCCTTGAAGGGTTTTATAACTGGGTATTAAAAACTTACGTTTGTTATGTACCTCTTAGGTTAGGTATTAGCTGTATAGCAATTTTATAACCCAATTACTTCACTTCCTGTGGTTAGGCCATGTATAAGTACTGACCAATCGTAAAATAACAATTTACATTTAAAGAGACCGAAACAAATCCTAACCATTGTTGTTTTGTTAATTAAGAATTTTAAAGGTCTTTGGACTGTTTCATCGCTCTCATCAAGCAGGACTTCGTTATCTACATGTTCAAATAGAGCTTCAATCGATGATATGCAGTGTTATAGTGTGACTAAGTGATGGTTGTTCACAAGACCAAATTAGTGACACAAGTTATTTAGTAACTTGAGGTCAAGTACAAGGCACCACCATGAAGAATTCTTTTAATGCAATAAAATGATGTACCTATGTACAAAATTTACTTATTTGAACACATAAATATTGGTACAAGAGGGCACCAAATATATATGCTCCACACAAAACAATCAGAATTCGAAGGAAAAAAGTACAATAACGAGCAGATTAGTGTAAGGTAGTGTAATAATAATAATAATGTGCAAAATATTAATACGAGAAATAAGTTGACGTTGGTGGTTGAAGGAAATCAGTTCGTAGGCCACTTACTATTCGACCAATAAAGTTATGGGCATCAGGCTCAATTCTTGCCAGTCGTGTTACCTGAAGTTTATGGTCAGTGGTTTACAGAATATTTACTGTTCCTTTAGTCAAATCTACCATCGTCGTGTATCGTTGAATTCTCTTTAGATACTTCTCTTGACTACATGTTAACTGCTTTTAGCAAGGGGGGTTTCTGTATTCTTCTAGTAAGTTAGATGGTGACACAGCATATGACAAGACTCCCGATTTTAGTTGGATATCTCTCGATTACTTGGTCAATCCTAGAAATCTTGAATATTTTCAGCAGAACACTGGAGTCTGACAGTTAAAGATTTCTCAAATGATTCAATCATATGAAGAAAGAAATGACCCTATGTTTTCTGCTAAGTTGTTCCATCAGATTTTACCATTGGAAAAGTTCGATATTTAGGCTTGAGAAAGTAAAAAGATTATTAAGGCGTCGATTATCGTAGAACAATCACTAACTATTTAAGATCCGAACTGACTTCTCCCAACTTATCTTAATCATGGCTCTGTAGTTTTTGTAGACGAGTGTTCATTCTTTGGCTTTTTTGCACCAGAATTCTGAAAATACAAAAGTTTTTTAAATGTTAGGTTCTCCGCTATTGGTATTCCAACGAATTATTTTGAATAAATTCATCAAAATGGATACCTATCCAAAGAGCACTACGGTTTCATTAAAAGTTTCAGTCTACTAATACTAAATCAGTAGTCAGTCGACTCTTTAAAAATAATCCACATTCCTAATTCATACTCTTCGTAGCGATAACAATATTAACATGGGTGTGAGAAAATGTCATCTTTGAGAGGTTAGTTTTACTATAAGGGACGAACTACAAGATACGTTTTAATGAAATTCTTGGAGTGGTCATTTTTACTGGAGACAGATATAAGATGGGCTTGTTTTGCATAGTGAGACTGCTGTAGTGAGTCATAGGGTTTGTGAATAGTATCTATACACAACTCTTCTAGTGCGCACCGTAGGTTCTTACTATTACAATTTAATATTTTTTCTATGTAACTTAGCTTTCCGTACATTTGTGTTCGCAGTGTTCCTTCATTTACTTTACTGTTTGAGGCATCCAAGAATGAAACTTTATTTTATGACTCTTTTCTTGTAAATTTTATATCTTCAGAGATGTTTTTAATCAAATTATAAACATTTTCAAGTAAAATTCTTTGGGATAAATGTTCTATTTATGTAGCGTATCCAAATATTTGGTCTAATTATCAGTAGAACCATACAGTCCTGAGTCTATGATTCGATTATAAAAACACGTTCACTAATTGTTGGATGTATATCGAATATCTTATAAATGTTCCAGTCAATTTTATATTCACCACTTTCGGTTTTTCAGTCGAATTTCTTCGTTCAGATCTACTAGTGCTTATCTCAAACTTATAGTGCATGGGAATTGTAGTGTAACCAAATAATCATTATCTTCACTTACACATCCGACTAATTATTCCTAGTGTTGAGATGCTGGAGAAGATTTGTACAACACGGTAAAGCTAAATATTGTCGTATACCGACTATTCGATTACTTACTTGTATGAATTAAATACAACCAAGACTTCTCTATCCGTCCTCTCCATAATTAATTGTACTTCTACGTTAACAAATTCGATGTGAAGCCAAGCTCTTATTGCATCATATAAACGAAGCTCCCATCTATAAAGTACGTACTCAAATTTTACCTTCAATTCACCAAATGTTATCTGCTTTAGGTGTTTAGTAAATCAGTGTTGTGTATATCACGAAACTACTTGGTACTTATGTAAAGTTACCTAATTTGTCTTAAAATTTAAAGTGGATTGATTAATATATGAGCATTGAGTATTTTCTAGACGTTATCGAATATTTAGGCTTTTCTGAAAGACGACCTGATGTAGAGGCAATAACTGGGTCATATGATTATTTCTTTGTTAATCATCTATCAAATACGAATTCTATCATCATGTAGCTATTTTCATTTTAAATTTTCTACATATCGTTGTATACTTATACTACTTTAAACTAATTTCATTTTCTGACCCGTTAGTATATTGTTTCATATTCATTCTTTGGGCTCTTATGTTAATAAGTCGGTTTTTATAAGTATTAATCATTCTACTGTACCAATCATGTCGAATCAAGCAATCAATCTGTTCAATCAATTTAATCGTTTGTTTTTTTCATCACAGAAGAAAAACTTTTATGGTTTAATATGAGATGGATTGGTACTTATATATTTACAATCTTTTATTCACTACATTAATCTAATTATCAACCTAGTTGCCAACTTATTAGTTTGATAAAATACGATGTACCATCAATAAGTTTGACAAGTCGGAATTAAATTATGACAATCCATCATGAAATCATCTATAGGTTACAATTCTTGATTACGTAATGATTGATTTGTTAAGGTTGATTTTCTTTTTAAGGTCAATTGTCAAAATTACTAAATGTCACTATAATATTAAAAGTTAATATTTGGATTAGCGCATTACAAAAGTGTTTTTAATCACCTAGTTTTAATTTAGTAGGTTGTACTAATGTACTTATGATATAATTTCCAACATCTAAATATCTTGCTAATTAAATTGAAGAATCTATAAATAGAGAACACAGGTAAGTTTTTCTATGTACCATTATATTCTTATATTGAATATAATGCCTACATTCAATTTGATAGAACTGTTGATGTAAAATGCTTTACAACTATTTAGAAAACATTATTATTTACAAAATAAGTGAAACATTCTAATCATTACAAATCAGTGTATGTTTAATGCATTGAATTATAAATTTAATAACATATACGGTCTTATAGATATCATTACCAACGTTTGATTTGATAATTTCTAGTAAATTGAGCATTGGGTAGATTGTTATAAATAAAACGAATATGTTTGGAATATCTCAATGAGTAGAAAAATGAGATTTTCTAACGTTACGTGACTTGGTGTAAGCCACTTCTTCAGATAATAAATGACCAAATTAATAATATTCGTGTTGTTCCATTGTATTATTTAAACTTGGATTAATTTTAATTTGGTTATTTATTCTCTGAAGAAGTGGCTTACACTAAGTCACGAAACATCAGAAAATTTAATAATTTTTCTACTGATTGGGATATTACAAATATAGTATTTATTTATATACGGTCTTAGTTTAAGTAATGAAAAATTACATTCTTGATACAAGATATGAAGGTCTTCGTTCAATATCATGTCTTGACTTAAGTTTGTGCAGCTGATGAATTTCAACTTACTTACATACCTACGCCTGTTACTCCTCGTGAAGGAGCATAGGCCGCTCACCAGCATTCTCCATCCAACCCTGTCCTGGGCAATCCTTTCTAGCTCCGTTCAGTTGTAATTCATCGTTTTCATATCTGCTTCTATTATCCAACGCAATGTGTTCTTTGGCCTTCCTCTTTTTCGCTTCCCTTCAGGATTCCAAGTTAGGGCTTGCCTCGTGATGCAGTTTGACGATTTGCGCAATGTATGTCCTATCCATTTCCATCGTCTTTTCCTAATTTCTTCTTCATCTGGAAGTTGGTTTGTTCTCTCCCACAGAAGGCTATTGCTGATGGTATCCGGCCAATGGATGTTGAGTATCTTGCGTTGACAACTATTTATAAATACTTGTACTTTCTTGATTGTGGTTGTTGTAGTTCTCCAAGTTTCAGCTCCATACAGTAGAATTGCCTTGACGTTCGTATTGAAGATTCTCACTTTGATATTGGTTGAAAGTTG